TTTTGTACACGGTTTTGATATACACCTAAGTCTGTTTTTACACGTTAGATTGGTTCCAGAAGAAGCCGTGTAAAAAAACGTGTAAAAAAAGACATTGATCTTATACATAAAGGGAATTCCCCTAAATAAGTGCTATTCACATTTGCTTTGACCAGTAAAAATTGTTTGTACGCGCTAAAGGGGAATTCACCTAAATCTTTAAACTAGTGTTTGCAAACTATCGATGGTTTCAGACTTTTTTCTTTCATATATACTTTTTTGTGATATGAACATATTTCGCAAAAATTAAATCTGGAACCAATCTACCGTGTAAAATTGCTGTCCACCAGACAAGAAACGCGTAGTTAGAATTGGTCTAATAACGTTCTTATAGATCCAGCGTATCATCTTAGCATTGAAACCCCATTTAGAGTGGGGGTTAAATTTCCAGTTTAGAATTACTCCCAGATATTTGATATGACTATCGTTTTGTTTTGGAAGATGGGCTCATCACACTGACCTATTTCTGTCTTTCTAGAGGAAAGACATATCTCCGTTTTGTCCGGATTTACATTTAAGCCCCTCGGTTCAGCCCATCTAAATAGAAAAATTAGTTCTCTTTCTCCTGACTATAGTATGAACCCATATTTATTTACTTTTAATTCATGTTTTCCATTTTTTCTGAAAATATTGTTGTTTTCATAGTCCCAATTTAGATTAGGCGAGTTTACTTGCGGCAAGTCTTTGACTGTAGGAGAGAGGGGCAATGGGAATAGAAATGGAAAAAAATTGCTCGTACCGACAATTTTCTGGCAATTCGTTTTGTGTATTTCGTATTTGTTGACATTTTATATTTATTTAAATGTAAAAACTATTGACATCAAATGAAAAAAGAAATATTTTCGAAACCGAATTGCCTTGTATAGACGCATGAAGCAAGTTCAAAAGGGAACGATAATAATTGCCGCAAGTAAACTCGCCTAATATAAATCAGGACATACATTTTTATATTTTCTAAATTCAAATGTCACATATAAAAATTTGGAGAATTTTTTGTTTGGAGTTCCACAGGGCTCAGTCTTGGGTCCATTATTATTTATACTTTACTTTAATGATTTACCTACTATATTTAATTCTCGAATTTGTGACACATTTATTTATTTTTTTTCTGGATGTGTAGAAAGTTGTACAAATTCTAGCTTGGATCGGTTTTTACATTGGACTCGGTTTTTACATTGGACGACATTTGACAGAAAAATGTAAACAAAAAATCAATTATACTTGTTTTGAAAATGTAATATTTTCGAATCATCAAAATAAAATTGAAAAAAAAACATGAATGAAAATCTATCAAATTTATATTTGTATCGCTTCCACATTGCGGGTTATTCCATGAACTAAGATTTGCTTCCTCAATCTTTCCCTGCAGGCATTTTGAATAAATTAAATACGGGCGGACTTTTAATAAAGAAGTATTTCGAATTTTCCTGTTGGGGGATTTTTAAAAACATAATTTTCATATTCATATAGACACTAGTATAACGTTGGAATCAAATCAGCTGGGTTTTGCTGTTACCTTTTATATAGTCGAACGGGCACACAGTATGAAACTGAACTAAAATTTTCTGATAAGCTTAATCCCTATCCTGTTCAAAATTGTACGAAAATTGCCCCAATCTAACAATACTAGGTCCTTCCAAATGTAAAGCTTTGTGGAGTTCGGTTAAGTATTGTGACTTTCATAGCCACTAGAACATTGTTGGTCCATTTCATGATTTCATTTTCCAAACCACTGATGACCTTTGTAGGATTATATCAATGCGAATTATCGATATTTGTATATGACAAATTTAAAAATTTATACATATATGTTTGCCTGTACCCAATATTTGGAATAATTTGTATAATGGCGGATAGGGGGAATGTGGATGATAACACTAACCTATTCCAGTCAGTGAAAACAGAAAGCAATGATCTCCATATTTTAGGACTATGTCCCCGCGGGCCAAAACTGACTAAAACTAGAAACACGGTATGAAAACAAGAAGATAGATAAAGTTTCGGTGCAGAGCCTAAATAGCTCAGTACCGGCGGATATCGTTGATCTTAACATGTATGTTTCTACTTTAATTTATTTCAGATTTTGGCAACCTAGCTAATTTTGCCGTATATGTTACAAAAACCACTTAACCTAAACTACACTAGCACTTATATTAAATCTTAAAAATAGAATAACAAAATTTGAACAATTTTAAAGAAATAAAAAAATTATTCATAAAAATAAAATTTAATTTAAAAAAATATATAATAAAAAATGTATAGCACGTAAACTACTCTTAAAACTATAAATTTAACATTTATAGCGAACACTTCCTGATCCCAAAGTTTTGAGACTTATTTTTCATACAAATCTTTACACTTTTTATAACGAACTATTTATTCGATCCCAACATTAAGTTTACATATATTTTAATTTGGTAATAACGAACTTGCTACAAAACTATGCGTGATATTGACGACGATAATCTTCACAAAAGTTAGTTTTTACTCTAACTCCGCTGATGACCTTTAAAAAATGTCAGCTGTAATGTCAGGGTTATCAAAGAAAAAGAGAAAACTACATTGAACCAATTTTTTCCTGGTCAAAATTAAAGCAACCTTTAATTTTTTATTTCAAATAACCATTATTTTTGTAACCATTATTTTTGATTACAGCAGGACACCTACGAGGAGTTGAATCTATAAAACGCTCATTTTTATCCTTGGATATACTATTCCTCGAATCCTGAACCTTTGGGAAGAGGTTATGTCTGTTTCCTAATTTGTTATTTTCTTCAGCGGACGGAACCACAGCGTTTTCCCAACACATTTTTTATAAACAATCCAACGCATTACTTCACAAATCTCGTAAAAAGATTGGATTCTATAAAAAGAAAAATAGCCGATACCATTATTTACATTATTTAACTGATGCAATACCTATTGGATTTATAAACATAATTTATTAAATATCATGTTAACCCTTTGTGGCCTAACACGCGCAATAAAATGGTTTAGAGCTTATATTTAATATGCAGCTAGTTGATATATATTCTTTGGATTTCATATGTCAAGACTTGGTTATGGACGGTACATATCAAAAGTATAGCCACTTCCAAATTTACAACCACATTAATAAGATCTTTTGAAATATTTTCCAGAGGTAAGTTTCATTACCCTATTTATGGGGATATATTATGGGGAACAAACCCTGTTATCAGGAAACTGGAACTTCGGGCACAAGAAACAGGTTCTTCAGAACGGATTAATTATAAATGGATATCACTTTTCTCGGTTTATTGGAGCCTGATTGTTTGGAAAAGGATCCAATATTAACCCTCACCAATTCTGTGCCTTATGACAGAGGTTACACGGGTAAACGCATGCCCAGGGCCGGCCACTTAGCTATTGAAAAACTAGGGATCTTACGCGGATACTGTCCGTGGAGTGAAAGCACTTCTGTATTGTTTGTGGTGCATTTACACACTAATTTATTAATAAAAAATGCTCCTTAAGAACTAAGTATTACAATATGACTTAACCTATCTTAGACTAATGTGTAAAAGAGAGAGAGAGAGTGCATCTGTCATAACACATGGAGTGGACACACACATTTCTTTATCTCACATGTGGCAAGCACGCTACACATGCTTATCAGTCTGTAGTGAAGATTACTCCCCGTAATCTCACCCAAACATACCACATGTGGCAATAGAAAACTCCTATCTTATTATTGTGTACAAATATTCAACCAAAATAATATCTATCTCAAGTGGACTGTAGACAAAAATAGACACCGGTTTAACTAAATATTCTCTCTTCTACACAAGAGACCCACAGCAAGACATTCACTATCTTTATTATTTAAAAACCATGTTCGCTACGTGAACAGCTATATATTTTAAATAAAAATCATAGCCCAATTTTGTATATGCTCATAGGAGAAAGTCTTAAAAAAAGGGATTGAAGACCGGCTACTTAAAAAAATTAAAACTAAAGGAAATTCTGCTCGCGTAGCCCATTTGTCCATAGGAGAAATTTTATGTCCGCAATCAAAGGCAGCTACTCAGAAAAAAAATAAATAAAAAAAATTTGGAGCAAGTTAAGTTTACACATCTGGATTTCTGACACTGGATTATGGGGACGAGACCTACTGATAGTTGTGATAGTGTGGTCTCTCATGTTTGGCCTTTTGTTAATTTTTGAGCGAATTTGGAGTAGCTCTCAGTTTTCTATTTTAAAACACACAAATTTCAAATTCGATCTTGTATATTACGTTATTACTTGCTTCATAATGAATATGTACGTGTAGTCATTTAAAAAACTTCATAATATTATATGTTCGGATTATCATACCTTTATAAGATATAGTCATTAAGATTTAATTATTACATGGAGTAGTATGTTTTGCAATTTATCTAAAATCGGCCTTTGAGGCTTCAAATTGCATATTTGAAAGAAATAAATAAATTCAATAATTCTATTTCATACGAGAGCCAAACATGTACTCTTTCTAACACCGTTAGAATTTCCGCATTCCGATGTTTCAGTGAGGAGTTATCATGCCCGCCATCAAAAATAAGGACTTTTCTTTAATCACCAAAAACAACAACCAAAGTTTGCATATTATTTTTTTCTCTTTTAAATCTTCAATTATATATGTGTAAAGTTACAGACCTTAACATGCATTGGTATTCAATGAATACCAATGAAAATCTTGAAAATGTATAATCAAGAGTGGGGGAGGTTCCCTTAAGACTAAAATGATGGCAAGTGTAATATAAAGCAAAATATTCTCCAATCTTTCAACATTAATATCAGGGAACACGCACATACAATGTTCATCATTGCAATCAGCACAACACGCTCTACTTACGATAGTTATTTCAAAAAGATCCTAGTAAATACATCAAAATTGATTTGTTCTCAAATTACTTCCGTATCCTAATCATGTCTATTTTTGTTACTATCTACACACTCACGGTTTTTCTTCCAATAGTTTATCGAAAGAATCCTTCCAAGCATCGTCAGGCAAAGTATTGTCTTCTGAAGAACTCATATCACACATCATTAGGAAAAATGTTTTCAAAGTCGTAGAAAATATATAGTTAGAGCAATATGTTACACTATTTAAAAATGTTTACAAACAAGGCGCACTACGGAGCCTATCATAAGTAATATTTTAAAGTGTTTACTGATGACGGCGTTGAATTTAAATGCCCCGGCCGGACAACTAACTCTGTGTTTACAAGTGACAGGGCAGTAGAGTTCATGTTCTGATGACGGCGTTAATGTTAATATTCTCGGATGGAGCAGTAACACTACGCTTAAAAGAGACAGGACAGACAGTAAAAACTGACAAACTTTTCAAATAAAGAAAAATCGACTGGGATAGAGCACAAAATGCTCTATCGTGTAACCGTTTAAATTCACGAAAATATTCATTTTTGTTCGATAGTCAATAGTGATAACAAAAGTGACAGTCATTAAAACGGCATTTGCATTAGATCTTTTTGCAGGGTTAACCTACTTTATGAGGATTTATTTGACAAGTATATAATGGAGTTGACAATTTAAACTCATTGGGTTAACGAAATCCGGTACAAAGTTGAAATTTTCCATTTAGTTGCAATTGCGATAAACGGACGATTTCGTTTTTATAATTTTTTTATTATAATTATTTTTTATTTTTTGTGATGTATAATATAAAAAGAGTGGAAGATGGTAATATTTGAAAAGGTTTCAGTACAATTTGGAAAATAACATATGAGTCGTTTATTTTGAAAGTGGTCTAAGTCCATTTGTTCCTATATTAAGATGTTTAAAAGTTTAATACAGTATTTTTCGGTTAATTAATTGGTTTCCCCGCTTAATTGAACCACATGATGGGTCAACAAAGTATTGCATACGAAAACACATGTAAATTTCCTCGGACAATTAATCCTTTTTAATTGATTTTCCCTTTAATTGGTTCAAAGCTTCATGTCATTATTATTGAAAAATAATCTGGCATTTTTACAGAACCATGGTTCCTTTTGAAAATATGCATGGAATCACTTTCAGGATGATTTGTGCTAAGTTTCGTGAAAATCGGTTCAGATCTAGATATAGCTCATACATAGATCCATGGTATAATTATTACAAGGTAGGGCACAGCTACCAACTGATTACAATTTTTTCTCAAGATGGCTTGTTCCATCAAATCAAAATAAATATTTTGTGTATGTGTATGTATTGTTTTGAATACAATGTCAAATAAATTCAAAATAAATTAAATATATTCAAATTTAACATGTTCGTCTGGAAGTAATTACTTTGTTATGGATGAAACAAACATTTGATGGTATTCCCTACTGGATTTTTGGAAGAAATCATAACCTTTCATTCATTTTTCGCGATTTTAGTTTTGTGTTGAAAAAATGTCAAATAAACACAAACACTTGTTGCGTTTATTTATTTTATTTTTGGCAGAAGAGACATGTGCATAGTTGTTTTTTTGTTATTCACCTCAAGCTGTCCTACCTTGTATTATTGTACCATGCATAGATCTAGATATTCAATTCAATTCAATTTTATTTAACTTGTAATTCAAAGCCTTCAGGCCCATTAAAGATAAATTACAAAATGCATATGATATGCTTAACCTAATAAAGGATAAACTACCCCAAAAAATAACCATAAAAATTCAAAAAATTAAAACATAAATTCATACAATCGTAAATACCATAATAAAAACTACTCCTACACAATCTAACATAATTAAATTAAGTTAGAGAAAAATATATAATAAATACACATTAAAACTAACAATATAAAGATATTAACAATATATATATATATATATATATATTACATATTAACAGAATAAATAAAAAAAAAATATTAAGTGCACTTTCAGAAACTTTCACAAATTAAAATAATAGGCACAAAGCGCAAGAACAAACAGGTGAAACCACCAAAATATAAATCTATTATTTTCCAAAGGTCAACTCCAACATAGCTCATAGTTGTGTGCGAAAGACCCAAAGTTTGTCCAATTGTCGATGATGCTTCAAGAGCGACGTTTGTTAGGATACATATGTGATAACAAATTTTCCTTTATGATATCGAAGAAAATAGTGAAATCGAGTAGATTCTTGCAGTACGGGAACAGACCAATGTAGAATACACCAAAGTGGCCCAGCCAGACCAGTGTTACCGCTGGCAATTTAAAAATAAGTTGCACAAAAAGTCGTTCCCTTGAAAAAAGGTCGCACAGAAAAATAAATTTGTCAATAAAACTATTCCGAGAATAAAAAGGAAAAATCAACTTTAAAAATTTCAAAGAAAAAAATTCGCACAAAGTTAAAAAGTTGCAAACAGAGTTATAGGGCATCAAAAAGGTTGCAAATTGCGACTTTAGTCGCACAACGGTAACCCTGAGCCAGACTTTATTACTTTCCTTACTGGCAAGGTATATTTAATAAGGTAGCCGCATCGGCCCAGCTGTTGGACAAATAAATGTCAAAAATGTTGTTGTAATGTTGAACCAAAAAATTAAAAAACAAAATTATGAATGAAAATCTCCGAATTTCGAAGAGCTTTTTTGGCAATACTTTTATTAACATTTTCTACAAGAATTTGTGTAAAAAAATGTTGTCAATCTGTTTGTTTTGGCAAAATATTTTTGACATATCAAAATACAACAACCGATGTTTGTTGTAGAAATTCGCCGATGCGACTACCTTGTATATCTACCTTGCTTACTGGTTTTACACAAGGTGTATTTAATAAGGTGTATGCATCAGATACAACAACAAATATTTTACAAAAACAACATTGTTGTTATAGAAATTAAATTGTCATGCTGACAATCATTTTTTGACAAAAATAAACAAAAACAATTATTAATTTATTTTTTTCAAGAAATATTCTTTGAGGAATAATTAATGAATTTGTATATTCTTGGGTTATTGGCGGTTTTAGGTCAGTGAAAAATAAAGTTTAAGACCTGGTCGCGATTAATTTTAAGTTTCCCACATGCAGCCCATGGCTCTTTGTGATGTTTATATTGTGAATTACAATCAATTTTTCTATGGAGTAGTGTCTTTCAATTTTGTTGCCTTCTTAAAGGAAATTGAGCGACATAAACATAATCTCCTCCATTTTATGATTATCAGGAATTTATGGACAGATTTCCACACATAACGTAAAATATGTGGACAATTCGACGAACGGGATTATAACTGATTTAAGCATAGGTTTCCTTTCCGTCCGCCTAATGAATGTAGATTTCTTGAATTTTTATTATTTGTATTGCATTTAATATTAAAAATAAAATGTACAATAAAAGAAAAAATGATTTGGTATGTTCCCCGGGAACATTTAAGCTTCTGGCATCAATACATTGCCCACTTTCTGGAACTTGCTTAAAAATATATAAGGAATTAGTTTTTACTCTCTTTTGTGATAATACTGAAAAAAGTAAACAGACAAAATGTAGTAAGACTTAGCAAATAAAGAGCTGATTCAAGAAAACAATTTATTTCGCCAAATTAAACAACAAACAAATTACGAACACAATTATTTGTATTGCATTTAATAATGAAAATAAAATGTACAATAAAAGAAAATATGATTTGAAATGTTCCCCGGGAACATTTAAGCTTCTGGCATCAATACATTGCCCTCTTTCTGGAACTTGCCTAAAAATATATAAGGAATTAGTTTCTAATTTAATGAAACTTTGCATTACTTACGAATTTTCTGTAATTTTTATACAACTTAACTTCAAATTGAACTTTGCAAAATAAAAAAATGTTTTGAATAATTTTTGTGTTTGGTTATAAAACAGCTGATCCAAAAATGGCTGAGTTTGCAAAATCTTACTGCATAAAATTCTTTCAGTAAACTCCAGTAAGTTTGTTGTTATTGAACTGTCAAACTTGCTCTCTCACTTGACTGGATTTTTAAGTAAACAGACAACATTTAGTAACATTTGGTAACCATTGTTACCAAATATCGAGTAAACAGACAGAGCTAATTTATGACAAACACTAGGGTACATCTCTACTAATTGAAAACATATGTTTATTGCTAAGAAAAAGCCGCGATAAAGTTTAAATGTTTGATTTGTATTTGACAGAAATTAATTTCTCCCAATTAGGCGTTATTTCTGAAATTTAACTAACAGTTCAATTATGCGGGAATGTGAAAATTTTGATGTGCAATATAAATATATTGTCTACCCCAAAAAATAGTTTGTAAACACCAGGTAAAGACAAAATCAAAAACAATTTCGATTAGTTCAAGATTTATATTGTTTCTGCTCCAGAATTGCATGAAACTATAATTTTTTCAATATCATAAAGGAAAAATTGTGTATCGTAATAATTTCTCGTAATAAATTCTTTCAAGCTCTGAAACAGACATATTCAGTAGAGTTGGGCAATTTAGTTCACTTAGCGGATCGATCTTTCTCGTTCCTTTTTTAAAAAGGAACTAGTTCCTTAATATAGTTCCTTTGCTCCATACAGTTCCTTTGCTCCAAATAGTTCTTTTGCTCCATATAGTTCCGACTCCTTCATAGTTCCTTTGAATCTCTATCTCTCTTTCATCTTTCATTTTAATTATTTATTCGTTCCTTTGATCCATACAGTACCTTTGCTCCATACAGTTCATTTGCTCTTTATAGTTCCTTTGCTGTTTATAGTTCCTTTGCTCCATACAGATCCTTTGCTCTTTATAGTTCCTTTAATCCATATAGTTCCTTTGCTCCATATAGTTCCTTTGTTCTTTATAGTTTCTTTGCTCTATATAGTTCCTTTGCTCTTTATAGTTCCTTTGCTCCATATAGTTCCTTTAATCCATATAGTTCCTTTTGTTATGTCACCCTGTTGCCTACGTCATATTACACGAATCACCAATGTAAGTGCAACATTGCATGACGATCATATGTGTTGCTGACGTGTCAGGATTTGATTGGTTGCTGCATTTTTGCAAATTGGCGATCCCTAACCAGCCTGCAAATGACTTTCGCGTCATTCTCGAGAGTAGCGGACGGCGAGATAAGACCGTAAACGTAAACGA